CCAACCTTGTTGAAAAAGCACACAAGAATGTTTCCCCCCTTGTTAATTACTTAATGAAAATAGCCTAATTTAATTTACTGCTATTTATCTTGCCAGTGTTGCCAGAATAGAAGAGTGGTATTTAGTTTTCATAGCAAAACATTTATCTTCAGCTTTGGTTTGAAAATATGGAACCATATTAACAAATCTTAGCAAAGGTGTTGCACCTCTCTTTTCATTAAAAGATTTTTCTACATAGTAATCACAGAACTAAGCTGATGTACTGTACTTTTATAGGAATAGCTGTTAACTGCCACCAGTGCAAATAGATTAGGCCTTTAACATCTAAGTTCACATTAGCAATCATTAAGCCAAGTAGAATTTTAGCACCAGACGTTTCTCATTACCTTAGCCGCACCAGTTTTCAAGGAAGTCAGTAATTAGGAACAAGCAATTATTAAAAAAGAAGAGTTGGGTAAAGGCTCAACAGATGTTTGCTTCGGTTATCTGCAATCTGAAGTGGCCTAGATAGCTTGTGTAGACATGTGTTACTCTGTAGTTTCTTCAGGGTAAATACAGGTGTCCTGGATATTCTGGTCCCACTTGAGGTTATAAGTTGAAGACTACCTGTATTTACCCAAATACTATTTTTAAAGATGTCTCAACTGAGGTTTATATAATTCTTGCTTCCTTGACCTTGCTCCTCTGTGTGGAACTTGACGCAGGCCAATAGTACTACTGTACCTTTTGTGCTGTGATCTGAAAAGTAAAGGTGAAACCCACTTCCAATGATTGCATTTCCTAGGGACCCCATGGACATATCTTTGCTTGGCATGGCTTCCCACCGCATTTTTATCAGGCCAGCTTTTCATTTCAAAGTCTAATCTGAAATCCTTTTTATTTGCTGATGGTCCTTTACGCAAGAACAACAACGACTGACTATACATAACTCTTTGAGATCAGTCAAAGTCAGCTTTGTACTGCCACCTAGCCAGGTAATAAGGCCAAATAATCTTGTCAATGAAGGAAAAACAAAAATACAATTAAAATCAGTCAATAAAAGACAATTCCAGAATTAGGCCACTAATTCCATTGCAGAATCCTTAGGTTTATAATGACTGCATCTCCCAAGAGAGGAATACTGAATACACATTTCTTTAGCGGATGAAGAATAAAAATGTTTACCAAACCCTCTCTGCTCTCATTGCTTTTCCTTTGCCATTATTAGTCAGTGCCTATAAAACTGGCTTTTCTCCTGTGCTCTGAGGTAAAGAGTTGGCTTTTCTCCCATCGGATCAGGATAGTAATTGAACGTCTTTGCACAGTGAGAACTAGTGCTTGCGATGCCTAGCTTTGGCTACGTGCATGACTGTGCTTTGTAATATTGGATTTAAAGTATATTTTAATTTTGTTTTGAATGTTTCTCATTTGTATTGATATGCACTAGTCAGAATAATAAATTATGAATCGGACATAATTATGATTTACATATTTTAAAAATAAAAATCATTAAAATGTAATCCATTCGCTATTGCGCAAAACTGTAGCCTCTTATTAAATGTTATATTAATATGCTTTTCCTATCCAGTGCTCCTTTCTGGCCATTGCAATGGCTGAGGTGGAACAATAATT